TTCTTAAAACAAATCAAACATCACGATGAAACTATCCACATATATAGAAAGTTTGGCAACGTGATTATATGTGTATTGTCCTTTTAACCCATCTTATACATAGTATAGTGTAAATATATAATCTATATTCTAAATATGGTGTACTTGCTAAGTAGGACAAATAAATATACATGGAAAGTAACATAAACAGGCTTCATCTAACACTCCCTCTCAAGTTGAAGCGTACAAGTCATATGATCCAATCTTGTCATATACAAACTCAGATCAAGAACTTCCAAGGACCTTTGTCCATGTTCCCACAAGTTCATCATCTAAGGACATGTACTCGGTGTCTACACACTCAGTATTATATACATTCCCCAAAATGAAGGGAATATCAATCTCAATATGATTCATCCGTTCATGAAACACTTTATAGATTTGAGGCAATGTGCAATGTTGCTTGATTGTCACACTGCAACTTCATGTTCGTCGCCCTACAAAACTTCAGTTCAAAAAATAATTGCATCACTCAAGTAAACTAACACATGGCTAAGGTCATGGCACAATATCAGCTTCAGCACTAGAACGGGTAATCGCATCTTGTGTCTTACTCTTTCAAGATATAAAATCAGCTCCAACAAAAATACAATACCCAAGTTAGAACACCTTTCGACCAGAAACCTTGTCCAATCAAAAATTTGAATATCCAAGTATCCAGCAATCTCAGAGTGGAGGCACAAAATTGAATCACACAGAAACAGAAAAAACTAGACTCACTACACTTTCAGCAAATGAAATATCCAGTCATGTGATAACTAAATAATTAAGCTTTCCAACTAATCTTCTATATCATCTAACATCAATTAAGGGTTCTCCCTACTTAATAAGTACTTCAATTTTGGGCTCATAGGAGAATCCAAAGCTTTACACTCATGACTCAGCAATGCCAATTTCTTCCAGCATATCAAGTTTATACTTATGTTGTGACAGAATAACACCATTGTTTGATTAAGAAATCTTAATCCCTAAGAAGTACCTCAATGGTTCCAAAGTCCTAGTCTGAAAATGGTTAGGCAAGTGCTCTTTCGATCGTGTAATCATATCAAGTATATACTTACACACTGACAGAATAACAACATTCTTTGATTGAGAAATGTCAATCCCTAGTAAGTATCTCAATGATTCCAAATTCCTAGACTGAAAATTAATTATGCAAGTGTTCTTTCAATCATGTAATCCGCATCATCCCAAGGAATAACAATATTATCGACATATACAACCAAATATATGAGACACGTTTATAGGATACCGTGTGATGCAACAGACATCATCCTAAATTCTTGAATTAAAAGGAAAAATTATCCACATCATGCCCATAGAGATTGTTTCAAGCAATAGTGTGAGCAAAATGCAATAAATGAGACTGGAGTCCAATGAAAAAAAAAAAAAAAAACGATTCCTGTGCATATTTGTCCTCCTGAGTTGATGCAAGACATATTTATCATATCTAAAAGCAAAGACCAGCCACACATAGCCGCATAAAGAGAGAACCGAACCGAAGACTTCTTGGCAGTTGGAGAGTAAGTTTCCATATAATTCCCATCATACACTTGAGTGAACCTCTTCCCACAAACTGAGCCTTAAGGCAATCAATGGAAGAGAAGAACAGAAACGGCAGGTCAGGCCAATGATGCATAACAGAAAAATAAGAACCGCAAGAAATTGGATAAGAACACGATAGAGGAAGGAGAAAGTTCTATTGAAATAAAAAATAGAGAATTGCAATCAAAATTTCCAAAGAGTGTCCTCTCTCACAACCACTAAGTTGGAGCTTGAACACATAAACCCAAAATGACAGAATGAAAATCAATTCTAGACCTCCACCTCACTTATTCTTCTCTCTCCTGTAACAACCTCTAGCTACTTTGATTATTTACCCTTTTAGCCCTTCTAGAATACACGTGTAGTATCCTTTTCCTACCCATATTGCTAATAAATTCTGGTTCTGTATCAAAAACATAGAAGAATTACTAGATCCATGGTCGGTGGCACCAAAATCAAGAATCCATGAACCACTAAAAACATAGGTATCAAACAATGTACTAGAGCTGAGGGAATGATTGTTGAGATGCCTAGAACTAGAGGAACGCAACATGATCGGCAAGTTGATGGGCAATGAAGTCGGAAAAAAATGGTGTTGAATCAACAACATTTGTTGTATGAGAAGGACATCCATGTAGGCTATAACAATGTTCCCGAGTATCTTCTGTCATGTAATAGTAAGTACACTGCAAATGGGAGTACGGTTGCAGTTCCCGCAATCACCACGATTTTCATCACAATTAATTAAATCAAAACTTTGAAAAACTAAAGAAGAGCCATAAAGGAGCAATACCAGCAAATTGGGTAGCCACAAGAGTGCTACTGATAGCGAAATGCCTGAAATGCATACACCTTGTTACCATGTTTCTCCGCTGAAACGCATTGTTGGCAACCACCCAGTCCAGCCAGAACTTTCCATCTCTTGAGATCACGGATTTAACCTTATATGAACCTGCTAGAATTCTCGGTCAACGAGCATCAATAGATATAGGGAAAGACCAAGTTTTGGTGTAACGGCGGGGCCTTTCATCGCATGATGCAACTTGGGTTGACATAGAAGAGTTTCATGCACAAATTCCAACTTTCCGCCTTGAGGACAAGGCAGTTTTGGACCCGAAGAGAATTGACAGCGAATGCTTGAGAGAAACAACCATTACATGTTTACATTCGTCAATCTAAGATGGGTCTAAATTACTTATGCCTAGTGGCTGCCCATTAAAGTCTACTTTCTATTTCAAACCTAGTAAATAAGCCCAAAATATTTAATGGCAGAATAAGATGAGACCCTGTTTCCACTCATTTGGGATTGCGGCTCTTGCTGAAAAGCTTGTTCCAGCCTTCCGGTAAGTACTAGATATTGGATCGGTTTGTTTCTTTTTCTTTTCTTTTTTTTTTTTTATCTATCAACTACCAATACAGAAAATGCACAAGAACATCAACTGTACAGACAGTGAAACCACTTACTATCTAATCATAAACATGAGCAAGTTCAGTTCAAAAATGAACAAGAGCCAGAACAATGAAAAGCTTGTCCCATGCAACCTCTGAATCTGTAGAACTAGTAGATATATAAGAGACCGAAGTTCTTGCCAATTAGATTCCAACTTACTCACATACATAGGCAAATCTAGAGTGATCTTTAAGATGGACAAGCCTAAAAACAATATCATAATCGCATTGAATGCCATTACTTCAATTGAAGCCTACGTCCAAACTTCATGACAAGTTTCAAAAGACTAGTATAAAGGAAGTATAGCCGAGTCCAGAAAGGTCCATAGTCTAGCACATAGTTGAGCATCAACTTTGGACCATTTAGATAGAATCTCTCTCTCAATTTCTAATTATGCTTTAGTCAGATGATCAGACTGCCCTTGGCCCTTGAATGAGTCATATAGATGCATCCCACAATCTATAGTTTGATAAACTAGGTGGGCTTATCATTAAGTGGTTTAAATGAGTAAGACATGGAGACAGCAATAGAAAATTTTTGGAAGAAAATATCTACAGGCAAGTGGCGAGGCAGTTGGCACATGCACAGCTCTAACGAATGGCAAAAACGGCAATCAAAAATTCTTGACGTTAAACCATGCCAAACCGGCACATTTCGTAGGGCGAAAATGGCGAAAACAAGCCAGAAATTTCCCAGAAGGAAAAATATGGAGCCTCGGATTAGCAATGCATAGAGGTGCATATGGTGGTGGCCGGTAATCATCAATAGTGGGTGGCAATGCTGGTGCCTGGTGGAAAGGGAACAAGTATTAACTGGATTGAAAATTTGTCTAAATGAGCATTGAAGAAAATTAAGATTTCGGCCAAAAATTAGGGTTTCAAGGCAACAGCAGCATTCTTTTGTCATAAATGCAGCAATGATGGTGGCAGCACTGGCAAAAACAGCATGGTAGGTTAAACCCCAATGATGAGTAGCTTTGTGACTATATGAATATGTATTCTATGTTCACAGTAGTGTGTAGTTGCTAAGAATTAGCAGAAATAAATATATATACAGAATAATCAAGGTAAACATGCCTAATCTAACATATAGCATAGAACATGCTTAATTCATATATTTAAGTTAAAACAGTCAGCCAAAAATCCTGCCAATATCTTCTACATGATCCAAGCAATCCAACCATTATATCCCAGTTAATATTTACCTCGTCGAAACTAACACAATCTTTCCATAATCACAATGTTCTATCCCTTTCTCATGAACTTGCACAGCCCTAAGGAAGATCCCAATTCCAGCAGCTATCTATAGTGCCACTGCACCTTCCTAAGCTGCCCTCTTCCCAAATATTTATCTTTCCTTGTCTCAACGTCCCCCCTATAATGATTTTTTATTCATAGTAGTACTTGAGTGTCCTTCAGATCTATTTTCATATCCACTGTGGCCCTTGCCATGAGTGTTGGAATATTCCAGGTTCCAGAATAGATCCTCCCATCTCTCCCCCTTTCTCTCATTTCACCATGTTTTGAATATAAATGAACATATGAAGACACAAACAAGATAAAAGAAAGTCAAATTAAAACATTAGGAATGCCTTAACCTTTGATGCCTGTGGATTTAGGATTCCTTGGAAATTCATAAACTCCTACGGAGAATTATACAATTCAATCCAAGATTATCTATGTCAAGATAATCGAGATTGTTTGGCACACTGACAGCAATATAACTTAAACATCTAGAAACCATACTAAAAATATCCGAAGAAATTGATAGAAAACCTATAGAAAGTTGAACACATGCATCTAACATATTCTTGTTTTCTTAAGATGTCCATTTCTCATGCTCTACCAATGCATTTTATAGTCAAACTGAAGTTGGTGAAGCATAAATCCATAGGTAATAAGCCTTATCGGTAATAGACATCAGATAATATAAAGAGAATAAACGTAGAAGGAACCAGAAATCATACTTGATTGCAGCCTTCAAAAAGGAAGAGCAACCCTCTGCACGGGTTTTAGCAGCTGCAAGAGCTTCAGAAAGTTTATGCATATCATCATCATCAGCCAGGTCCAAGTTTTGGGGCACTGGTATACGGGGAAATTTCATATATATTTTTCCAACACGGCCTGCAATAGACACCTGAACTTAAGTAAGACAGATAAAATATGATTATGAGTGTATATGGTCCATGTTAAGTGCTTCCCTCATTACACTATGTGTCACTCCACAAGGGTCTAATCAGAAACCAATTCAACCATGCATAATTAGGATTATATCAAATATAAGTATAGCTTGACAAGCACTAATATGTTACTGTATACTAAGGTAATTTTGTTATTACCCCCGCCCCCCCACACTCACACACGCACCCATCCAGGATCAAATCAAGGTCATACCCCCCAAGGGGATGGCTCTCCACTTGATATACAAGGATTTGGCAAAATCTGCACCTCATTGTTGACCCATTTGTCAGAAATTATTATTTTGACCAGTTTGTAACAAAAGAATAAGAACTAGCGTAAAAGTTTGCCATGTCAAACATCAATGCATCTGAAATTTCTTGATAGATGTGGAACTGCATACGCATCAGCATTTCAATTGGAGAACTTTTGGTAATTTGGCTCTTTGCCTCAGTGAAACTTAAAAGGCCGGATATAACAAGCTTCACCTACCTTACAATTGAAAAGTTTCCCCTCATCACTACCATATATCCTGAAGCACTAATGGAGTTGCAAACTATTTTGGTATTTGTTACATTGAGTTGGTTATCGGATTGTAGCTCTAATTTTCTATTGAAATCTCTATAGATTCATGCACTGTTGAGCACATGTAATATATATATATATATTGAGTTATACAAGAAATCTATTAAATCGCATATGAAATGTGCATACATTATTCAGCTGTTCTGAGTATTTCTTTTCATACCTGATCCACATCATTAAAAACAGCCATATCCTAGATGTTAGAACATTTTATAGGTATCCAAAAACTAGTAAGATCTATTATCCTCAGACCTCTAACGTAGATTACAGGATATTTAATCATTCTGGTTTTTTGCTTTTGTTTGAGGAAACTAGTTAAGCAGTTGAAGATCTCCTTAGAAGAGTTGTGACCCATGTAGGTCACAGTTGGAACTTGGACAAAGATGATGTCTAATGACAAGAATTAATGCTCACAAAAGTCAAATGTGGTAGAAAATTATCATCCTAGTTCCCACGGTCCATTCATGTCATCTTGTCTATGACATATTAAGAATAAATCAACTTGTATTGTAGGAATTTCAATGGTCTTCACCAATTTTTGTAATTCATAGAGTTTCTGTAGAACTTCAAACTTTTTTCTCAGGTAAAACTTAGGGTGCGTTAGGATGGATTTTCAAACCAATCTTGCACTTTCATATTTGTCTCCCCAAAATAATCAGCACATTAAACACCTATTTCCATTAAAAATATTACATTTAAAACATATTTTCTACCCAAGACATTATATCAAAAGTTCAAAAACCTATCTATATTCAAACTTCTACTATTCCCAAGGCACCAAATCGCATCCACATAAACACTTCAAAAAACAATGGTAACCCTTACCTTTAATAGTCAGTAAGCATCATTTCTGAAGAAAACACCAGATAATGTCAACTTCCCACCAATTTTGATCCCATAGCCTCTATGTTTTGAAAAAATGTTGTAACAGCAAAGATATATTTCTTGACTGAATCTTCTTTACGATCTCACACATGGGCTATTGTGATCAGATGGTATTGGACAAGCTAAAGATTCCATCATAGATGATAAACAAAAGTTTGATTGGGCATAAATTTTAAAAGCACTGTGTGAATTATATTGTTCACATGAAACTGCCCAAAAGAAAACAAAAAAAGATTGTGATATATGATTAAAGACAAAACATGGATCAGAGCATGTTTATTTGTGCCACATCATTGGGAGAAAACATTTTGAAATAATATATCTATTAGGGTGCTTTTGATATGTTTTGAAAAAAAGAGAATATGGGAATAAGTTTCTGGGTATGTATATAGAAGAAGGGTTCATTGGAAGCACCTCAAGCTCAAGAAAGATTTCCTCATAAACAAAATTTAAAATTTCTGATGTGTCCAAGTAGAAGCACTCCCCTCATTTACCTAGTAGAGCTGACTAAATCATCTCAAATTGTCAGCAAAATCTTACTTTGAAAGTACTAAACATTATTGCTATTATATAATGTTAAAAGATACCCCTCACATGTAAGGGGTTATACTCCACCATACAAATCTTGCACGTGGACGACGACGAATAGGGACAGTAGGACTCGAACATGAAATCTATGACTCTGATACTAGATTATATAATATTAAATGACCATCTCACTTAAAAACTTGTGCTAGTAGGGATACGCATCATTTATTTATTTATATTTCACGGGAGTCAACCAATAGTTGCATGTCATTGCAGCCACAATTCAAGATAACCAACAACTACCAATTCTGAAAATAAAGGGAATTTAATATTAAAACAAGTAACTAACCAAGAGTATCTTCATTGTAAGGAAATTTTCCTTTAACAAGTGTATCCACAAACATCCCTGCAAGCTCAGACCCACATGTGACCTAAAATTGAGGATTGCAAAGTACATCAATAATATGAACTTTAGAGATTATTGAATAAACATGCTACTTTTTTCTTTTTTTTCTTAAAAAAAAAAAAAAAAACACCTCAAGATGCTAGAAAGATTAACAAGTATATCAGAAGGGACTGATGTAAGGAAATGTTCCCTCCAGTTTTCAATGATATAAATATAACCTGCCCATTCTCCAGTTGTATGCAAGCACCGGATTCAAGAATATCCAGTGCTTCTGAATACCTCTCAGCTGAAATGTATCTGAAACGAGTTGACAGAAAATATATATGTAAGAGTTGAAAATAATCCCAGCATGAAATATCTCATGCTTATATGTACCATACATACCGTGCACTAAAAGATTTATACATCTGTTGGGCGCCATAGCAGTTCCCTTCATGTACTACTTTCTTAATCTTCTCAATATTCTGCAGCAGTGCATTAAATAAATAAATTTCATATCCAACTACTACAGCACTATCAAAGGACAAAAGTTGCAAGATGCAAGTCAACAGAAGATCATCAGGATACATATATTGAACATAAAATCTACAATCAGAAAACTTAGGGAATTGAGCTGTATTTGGCAACACACCTCTTCAGCTGATGCCAGTGCAATTCGCTTAGCCCTCTCGCGTGACATGGCTCAGTATTACAGAATGTAATCTACAAATCTATTTTAGCCCGTGAACTCGATCTGCATCGCCACAACATAAACTCATCAATGCAAATTTGTACCATTCAACTCGAAACCAGCTAAGTTCAAAAGCATTCACTGGATCACAAATCTGGATTAAAAAAAAAAAAAAGGAGAGAGCGAGAAGAATTCGACATTTTGACCGAAATTCAAAACAATAGTAAAGATATATCTTGCGAATCGATAGAGGGAGGGAATTGCAACATACATGCGATGCGATGAGATGAGAATCGGAGGTGGGTCGATCCTGGAAGACCTTCGCCCTTTCTTTGGTCTTATTATGCAATTGGAAATGTCTCGGCCAAGTTGGCAGGCCAAAGGATTTATTTAGAGGAGTGGTTGTTCAGGTTTTTAATATTATAAAAAATATAGAGCATACATTGTGGGTGGGTTATTTGTGATTTGTTAGGTAAGATTTTGGTTAGGGTTTTGGATTGGAACGGTTTGATCAAAAGTAATTTGATAGTTAATGCTTGATACGATATAAATGTCATTTAATAAATATAAGGATTGATATAAGGGAAAGTTTGATTAAAATACATGTAAGATAAATTCACTAGTTCAGTCCCTATTTGAAATCAATTAGATTATAACTGCTTTATAAATTAAATACGTTATAGCTCCCTATTTTATATTTTTCCCTGAATTAACGGTGTATTCGCAATATGTATTCGAAATAGGTTGATCAATACTTCAAATGTTGTCATATATACCTACATTACTTCTCGTTCTACTCTCATTATAACTTTATATACTTCTATTTAAATATCGCGTATCTTTTTTCACAAATTAAAAAAAAAAAAAAAAACAATTACCCACGATTTAACAGAGTTGGGTTGAGACAGGAAACCTTTCATAACTCCCCTTACCCTAATTTTAAACCTTACATCTTCCATCTTTAGGCGAACCGATGTTCTCCAACCCAGCGATCAAGTAGCAACCAATCGCAGAAAAAACAGTGAAGAAAACAGTTGACCTGCTCCCATCCTTTGGGACGAGCTCGAAGAAGTAAGTGCTTGGTCAGAATTTTTCCGATTTTTTATTTTGTTGAAATTAGTATTTTATATTATAGTTTGTTCGATTATTTGAGGTGTAAGTTTTGGTCTCGTGTTTGTATGTCTCGGTTCCGTGTTGAGGAACCCTGGGTGATTGGTAAGTTGTATTTGTTAATCGGATTTGAAATTTTTTGTATGTTTGCCCACGTAGATCGGATTTGATGTTTTATTTTTGCACTGATTTGGGTAATTTTATTTGTTTAATCTGTGATTTTTGTAAATTTTGTAAATATACATTTTGTTTTAGTTATCCGAAGTTGCATATTTTAGTTTTGTGGTTTGATAGCTTGATAATTAGTCATGTTTGTGGGTCGAAAAATGTAGTATTGTTAGGTACCCCGAGTTTCATCTTTTAGGTCTAGTTTTCTAATCGTATACTTCTAGGGACTATTGTGTACTCGGAATGTATTGTTACGTATTTATGATAGATTCTGATAAATTTTTAAATAAATTTGAGATTTGGGTAATATGGACTTATGGTGTTTATTTATCGTAGGTTGGATTGTGCTTGAGTGCAATTCACTACGTGATCCATTCGGACAAGGGAACATGAAAAAATTAGTGCGTTATGAAATAAATATAAATAATTGACTGTGGATAAACCGAATTACATAATAAATATTGTGCTATTTTGCAGACGTGATTTTTATGCTTGTACCTTAACACAATACACATACGGCCCATGGTGAAAAAGACGCTAGAGTACGTAAGATGTCAGCATCAAGGTGACACCATCGACTGCAGCCCTTTGGTCCGCATGTTCGCCAAAGGTTACACCCACATGAATCCGGCAGTTCATCTCATTGGTGGCATCGGCGGCGAGTTTGATATGTGAAGTGCTACTACAGTAAAATTGCGGCAGAATACTGAAAGGTCCATCATCCGAACCGTGGACTCCGATGAGCAACATAAGGTAAATGAACGTTTGTAATGAATTTGGATGGATTTGGGGTTGATTTGAGCTGTGTTATTTGTGTTTGATTTGGGTAATGTGTAATTTTCATATTGAATTGTTGGTTGAATTGATTTGATTGGTCTCTTATTCAATGGGATTGTATTAAGATTGATTGAGAGATTGAATCGTTGGTTGAATTTGGTGAAATTTAATGTTTAGAGTAATGTTATCAATTGTGCAGTGAATGATTGTATGATTAATTCTGCACATGGTTAGAATTGCAATAATGCACATGTTATACCTCCACAAAGGATAGATATGCCCGACTAGCTAGATCGAAATACCTTTAAAGTACATACATATGCTTATATACATGTTACCCATTAGTTAAGAAGGTTATCCTTGTATGAAGACAACAACAAGCCAGAAAAATTATGCATACTTCTCTTAAATTTGAATTAACTAATTCATTACAAGATCTTGCAATTGTTGAAGTAATGTCTGCAATGAACATAAGTGCATTTACGGATACTTGAGTACATTAGTGGTGCACATAAGAAAGAAAAACATATACATGTATTGCAAAGGTTTATGCCTTCCCAATCGCTATTATTTCTCTAAACCACCAATGAAGTGAAGAAGTGCTAATAGAAGAAGTATTTTCATCAAGTTCCTTAATTTCCTAATCCGTCAAAGGATTGAGTGAAGTTGACCACATTCAAAGATACATGTTACTACATAAATAATACCTAAGCAGTCATCAATCATAGCTTGATTGTCAATGCATGTATCCAAACACATTGTTACATACCTGCGTTAAATAAAAACATACCGCATAGTAGTTTTTACGTACCTATAATATGATCTTATATGCTCCAGCAACGAGTATCTATGCCCGGGTAACTTGTTCTTGGAAATCGATCATTTTGAATTTGAAACATTCAATTGTTGTTACTAATCATGGATGAATTCATCATTATAGTGTTCTTGCGCCTAGAACTATATAAAAAGATTTTAAAAAACACATATTTACTACGGATTAATAAACAAGATAGAAAATACTCGGTTGGGATGACATTGAAAATATAAGAATAATACAAGTTCTAGGATGCAATCTATTATGCACCAATATACCAATAGTTCTATTGTAGTCCAAACAAGTCTCATTCTTATATAATTGTGTCATTGAAAGTAAATTTAATCTCATAATAATACTACTGACACGATCAATAATTTTAATAAAATAATCTTGGAAAGTACTTTATATCCACATGTTAATGGTAACCGGGGATAAATTAAACAAGATAATTGTTTTTACCAATTTCTGGAGAGTATTAGCATGCAAAGAGTACATGTTTACAAGAATCCAATGGGGAAACACTACCATACATCATTGCTATCACAGATTGATTGTTATTTAAACCTATTACATAGTAATCCATAGCGTAGCACACACAACAACATTCAGTCCACCGAGGCTAAGAGATGAAATGCTCTCACCAAGTTTGCGAATCAATCTCTCTGTGTGGGATTGACTGAAATCAACTAAATTCGAGGATACCTAATACTACACAAATAATACCTAAGCAACCATTATTTATACATCGCTAGTTGGTGGTTGTACTTGGATAACACACATACATATTTGCATAAAAACTCTACATACCTTGGAACAAATCTTATGTACCTATAATAATAGTTTCATATGCTTCAGTAACGAGTATATATGCCCCGGTAACCTGTGGTTGGAGAATAAGTCATTTTTAGTTTGAAATATTCATTTAATGTCAGTAACCAGGGATGAATTCATCATGGTAGTGTTCCTATGACACTCTGAATTGCATAAAAGGGTAAATAATATATATTTACTATGAGTGGTTAAACAAGTCATAAATGACTTAGTGTATGATATATGTAGTCCAACCTCCACTTATAGATGTCTAAAAAAGTCGCAGTGACTAAGTTAAATTATATTAGTTGTTAGAGTACATAATTGTTGCCACAAATTAAAAATGTGACTAAGTTCAATTATATTGGTTGCTATAGTACATGACTGTTGCCACAAATTAAAATTTTTTTAGACCTATTACATAATAATCTACACTGTAGCACACATAACAACATTCGGTTAGGAGCATATTTGCAAAGAACATGACTCGACTAATAAGACGAGCACTCCAGAGTAGCTCCGTCGTACCCAAAACTGGCTTGGTGTACGAAATCCTACTAGTTGCGTACCTACTGCTACTTCATTTAGGGAATTATCTATCGCTGTAGGAACTCAAATAAATTCAAATAAACCTGCTACTTTACAAATAATACCTTTGTAATGTAAATATATACTCATAAACTCAGTGTTAATACTTGAGTACTTTATTCATGTAACTATATACATTATCTTTATGTCTTGTTTCATTTTTCACATATCTATATACACATATTATATACTCCAGATACACATACTTATGCCCGCACTTTCCTTTCATGTACCACGGTGCAATTAATTTATAAACAAGTTTCAAAGCAGCTTTGGATCTTGTTGTTGTATATTTACATGATACACTTTCAAAGTGACGATGATATGGCCGGATAGCTTGCTGGGCATAAGCTATTCGATCTCAAAACCAACTGATTGAAGTGGAACATCTAAATCCTTAGTCTTGGATAATGATGACGATGATTGTGGTTGCCTTTCTCGATCTATCCTTCAATTGTCTTCGAACACAACAAAACAAAATGAAGATTCATCTTATCTTAAATTAGATCCAGTTATTCAAAAAAACTTTTATATAGTACAAAACTGAGAAAGATCAACAAATGTAGACAAAGAAAACACACGAGCAAAACATCCAAAACCATGTTTTCTAGATAAGAAAAGTAACAAAAAGAAGAATATGACCGGTTGACGAGGACGTCCAATCTTCAAGCATTCAAATGCCCGTGGGACCCATCACTCGAAGCCGAGCTCGTCAATTTAAAAAATCCGTCACTGCATTGATCAGACGATTTTTCATGGAGAATCAATTTAAGGATGATGCTTGGAGACCACTTAGCCCTCACCTGACGCTCCTTCAATGGGACCCGCAAGAATCCCAATTGAAAGATCAAGAGAATCGCTAATAATGGAAGGTTATCAAGGGAATCATCACTTATGGAGAGAATCACTAATCATGGAAGTATATCAAGAGAATCCTCATTTATGGAGAGAATCACTGATCATGGAAGTATATCAAGGGAATCATCACTTATGGAGAGAATCACTAAATCATGGAAGTATATCAAGGGAATCATCACTTATTTCCTTTTATTATAAGTTTCCCTATAGTATAATTCCATATCTAAAACTTCCCTAATTATTTATTTCCTTATAGTTAGACTTACCTTTTGGTTTG